CGTATATGCGTTTGTTTATCTGGAACGCGCTCATAACGCAGTGCTGCGCAGAAACGAAAACACCCGAGTCGCACACTTCATCTATATACTACATATTCAATTGAAATGTATTACAAGGGCCATTTTCTACGCGATGTACGTGACCGGAATTTAAAATGCACCTCTGTCGCCTCAGCCCTGATTCGTAGTAAATTAATTGCTTTGCGCAGAAACAGTGGACAGATCATTCGTTTCACTCTGAAGATCAATTAACTTGGCCTTCTTGTGACTAGCGTGTTGATCAGTGCATTTAGTATTTGATTGCTGTCAGTGTCGTTTATAAGCTCAGTATGAATGCAGGGTGTGTGATTTGATTAATTGCTTTGTTAAGCGCTTCATCTTGTTTTTGTGCAGATGATAAGAAAGATGTTGATCATGAGACAGTGGTGGAGGAGCAGATCATTGGAGAAAACTCTCCTCCAGATTATTCAGAATACATGACAGGCAAGAAACTGCCACCTGGTGGCATACCCGGCATTGACCTGTCAGACCCCAAACAGCTGGCAGAGTTTGCCAGGTAAGTGTAAAATTCAACTGTTGTGTGCATGTGCAATACTTTGATTCCTCTATACAAAGAATAATAACGAAGTCAGTAATATAGCTAATGTAAAACTGATATAATGTGAATAAGCATGAGATTAAATCCCTTGGCACATTAAATAAATCAGTTTTGCATAGTTACTATTATGTTTAGCGTGTGTGTGTGTGTGTGTGTGTGTGTGTAGTATTTTGGAAAAATAAGCACAGATAAAATAACATCAGCGATTTTATTTACAAGTTTCTCAATACTACAACACACTTTGTTTATTAATAACAACCTGTACATATATTCAGCTATTGTAAGTCTCTGTTCATAGCTAATACAATCTGTATAGAATGTTTATAGTACAGCCATCTGTAAGTATTACCCATAGTCTTTCTATAACTGCACTTTATAACTTATACCTGTATGCTGCACTTGCTATTATTGCACTCCTGGTTAGACCTAAACTGCATTTCATTGCCTTGTATTTGTTCCTGTATAATGACAATAAAGTTGAATCTAATCTTCTGTTTAATTTGTCAAACCATTTTTGAGTTTCTTCATTTAATTTGAGAACTAAATGTATTGTCATTATCTAAATATACATATATATTTTTTTACACTATACAGAATGAAGCCTAGGAAAATAAAAGAAGATGATTCTCCAAGGACGATAGCTTGCCCACACAAAGTGAGTGTCTGTTCTTATTATGTGAATATACAGTGCTCAGCCTATATGAGCAAACCCCTCACAAATCTCTTTTTTAAACTCATATTTTTAATAGGAAGCTATACAATATTATATTTGTGCATTTGCATTAGATTAGTCCGTACTGAGGCCAAACTTAAGATAACAGTCCAGAAACTAGTACACCCAAATGTGTATGTTATATAAAAATATTAAATACAAATTAAAAAAGAGGAAAAATCAAGAGAAGCAAAACAATTTGAAAAAATTTAGTTGAAATACTGTTGGTTTTAATTAATTTTTGCAATATTTTGAATTTAATTGTATTATCTTTCAATTTCTAAATATGTTTGGTGACTAAAATATTATTTTAATAAATATATCTGTTTAATCTGCTTTGTTTAAACACATCAAAATACATTGATCATATTCACTGAGAAATGGATAAAAGAAATTTCAATTTCAAAATGGTGTGTACTCAATTATGTTGAGCACTATATGATGTTAAAAAATATTTGTAGCTAAGGTGCTGGTTAATATAGAGCAGGGGTCACCAATCTCTGTCCTGGAGGGCCGGTGTCCCTGCAGGGTTTTGCTCCAACTTGCCTCAACACACCTACCTGGATGATTCAAGTATACCTAGTAAGACCTTGATTAGCTTGTTCAGGTGTGTTTGATTAGAGTTGGAGCTAAAATCTGCAGGACACCGGCCCTCCAGGAACAAGCTTGGTGACCACTGATATAGAGGAAACCCATTCCTGAGTTTGCATGTAGCAAAGTGAAATCTAAAATGTAAAGAATTGCAATACTGAAAAAAGTTTGCTAAACTGTTTTAGTTATGATAAAGGACAGCAGTGTGATATATGATAGCAGTTTTGAGTCTCTTTGTGGTGGAAACAAGTGACCACCCATTTAGGATATTTTTTCATCAACATCAAGAATTAGTTGTTAAAGTTGTTCTGTTAAGTAAGATTGTAGATTATCATTATTGTTTGTCTCTTTTTATAGGGTTGCACAAAAATGTTTCGGGATAACTCCGCTATGAGGAAGCACTTGCACACCCACGGGCCGCGGGTTCACGTCTGCGCTGAATGTGGGAAGGCGTTTGTGGAAAGTTCCAAGCTAAAACGGCATCAGTTGGTTCATACTGGTGAAAAACCTTTCCAGGTAGGATGTGCATACCACACACATAGACTTTACTTAGGTTGCCCGCCCAGGTATGTTAATGTCTGCCCAAGTATATTTAGTCACACCTTTTTTTCTATTATTAATATCCTTTTACACATTTTGTATCTGCTCAATATAACTAAAGATCCACAATCGATTAAGTAGTGGAAAATCTTCTCTCGTTTACTAGTTTTGCTCTCTACTCACAAGACCTGTCAACAATCGTGCAGGCAGTTTCACGTGCTCTTTAGAACCAGAGAGCATTTTTAGGGTTTAAAATTTGCCCGACGCGGGTATCTAAATCTCCTGAAATATCTGAAATTCAACTTTTGCTTTCACTTTCTAAATTTAAAATGTTTTGGCATTCAAATCTCTTTTGAACTTGAAACAGAGAAGCGTTTTTTACCAGTGGGTGCACATGAATCTTGAAGGGCACAAAAGTTTTTCTTTTTTTTTCTTTTTTTTACTTCAACCCATTGTAAAGAAACAGTGTCATAAGTACAATTATTATTACAAATGAAATTGTTTTGTTTGTCCCATATAGTTAACTATTTATGTGATGTGGGTAAACAGTATTTTTTAACCCCCGCAAGAACATTTCAAACCTGTGAGAAGCACTGCATATTGTGAATTGTTGTTTCAAATGATTGATGCTGATCTGAAATGATTGTAAATAATTATTGTTTCGCTCTCTTCCACCACAGTGCACATTTGAGGGATGTGGAAAGCGCTTCTCATTGGACTTTAACTTGCGCACACATGTGCGGATTCACACTGGAGACAGACCGTACGTTTGCCCGTTCGATGGCTGTAACAAGAAATTTGCTCAGTCCACCAACCTGAAGTCTCACATTTTGACACACGCGAAAGCTAAGAACAATCAGTGAGATCCCTCGCTGAAGAAAGCTCCAAAAGACTCTGGTCTGACAACAGCTTCCTGCTCCAAAACCCTCTTTGTATGTCGTTTCTAGAAGCGTTCTTTTCTAAGAGAATCTCAGCACACATTTTGATGGGAATTGAAATGTGAACGAGGAACTGACACCAAACTTACCCCGTCAAGCATCTCGTGGTATAGACCTGAATTAAATAACTTCCCGGTTATGAGAGTTTCTTCTTTTGAAGATGTGATTGTTTTCGTGGACCTTCATTCACTTAACAAGACGCTCATTATCCTGAGCCCAAAGAAGCTAAATTGTCCATCTGTGTGTCTGTTTCAGTTTGCAAAGACTGCTTTTTAGATGTCTTCAAAGTGTGCATATTGTACACTTTTTAGAGCGTAGAGCTGTCGTGTGTGTGTGTGTGTGTGTGTGTGTGTGTGTGAGTGCGCGCGCGTGTGGGTGTGTGAGTCGTCCCTGAGACTTAAAACCTGTGAATGCTTTTCTTCAAGGAGAATGAGATGTCGTTCAGCTTTTCTTTTTCTTTTCAATGTAAATACTGCTTTTCTTTGTGAGAGGTATTCTGCGCAGGTATCTTGTTTTGTATACCTGTCCTGTACAAATGTTTTGAAATCATGTAGATAATAGAGATGTTGATTAGATTGTGTTTAACCAATTAAACAGTTTTATCCAGCTTCAGGAAGTACTGCTACATACACATGCCTTCTTTTGTAACACGTTAACAATCTTACTCAGTTTGTGGAAAGACACTCTTTTGTTTTGTTTTTTAACTCTCCCTTCAAATTCTCTAATTTATTTGATGATATGGAATAAAGCTAAACTCCTCTGTGCAGTTGCTAAAAGCCTGAAGTTCATCGTGCTGTTCGGTTTGCTAAATCTGTTCTACTGCTGGGTTTGTAAAGCTTTTGTACTTGTGATGTTTCTAGTTGAAGCTAAATTGTTGCTCTTTTTGGTTAATACTAACTAACTTTAGGATTATGGTAACATTACAAATATGAGTATTTCACACTGCATCTACATCTGGTTTAGCAACATTCCTAACCTAAATAATTTGAGTTGTGTAACTCCGCTGGTCCTACAGTACGCAAACTACTCCCAGCTGGGATCGAACCATGCTAAAGACTCTTGCATCTGTTGCTAGAGCACCTTTTGAGGTCAGAGGAGTGAGGTTTACCTGCACAGCACTTCGCTAGCTGGCCTGTTACACTCATCCATCTAACCTCACTACCTTCTGGATCACGACACCAATATAACTCCACTGGGGGGAGCTGGAATTGAACTAGCGACTTTTCACATGGGAGTCGGTCGCTTTAACAAGGAGGTTAAAGACCATTGTCTCTGGCATGGTCAGAGGAGTGTGGTTTACCTGCGTAGCACTTAACTAGCTGGCCTCTGTTACAGTTGCATACTCCTAAAATATATTCTGAGCTATAACAGGATGGTTTTTCTCTATACATCCCATCTTGTAATTGACTTAACTTTGTTTTAAAAACAAAACTTTCAAATATAATTTTCTTTTATTTATCGTCACAAATCTCACATTCCAGTACACATGTATTTATTGTTATTTACCACTGTATGGTGGTAAAAGATGTGTTTTCCACTTGCATTATGGTTCAATTAATTAAACCAAAAAACGTTTCTTTATTTTACTTAAAATGTACTCAAAACATGAACCACACAAAGATTACTTTTATTTCAAAATAAAAACTTTAATTTGCATTTATTTTTTCTCTCCAGCAAACAAATAAAGCAATTGTCCTCAGCCTATTCACATACCTTTCAGAGGGAGTTCTGGAGGCAATACATCTTTCAGAAAAACAAGTCTGACCAGTTGCTCCAACAACATTTCAGTGCACTAGATGTCTAGTAGAAAAACACCACAAACCCCACAACAACAAACAAACAAACCCATTCAATGTTAATTCCCTGAGGATATCATCACAAAGTCTGTGAAATCCAATTTTTGAAAAGTCAAAAACAGGCCATTGGTTTATTCAGCTCAAGTATGTTCAATAATTAGGCTGGTTTCATAATAGTGTATCATGCTTCAACTAAATCTTAAAGCATTCAAAAGTTTATAACAGAAATAATACTTTGATATGCATTTTACAGAATATTGCACTTCGGATCATTGGTCAGTGAAGTAGATAAATTTCGTTGATATTTCTCAGTTTTTTGTTTAAAACTAAGAGGTGTGTTTAATATTTTGTTCATACAAATAAACCTCACCTAAAAGAACTGAAGTAACAACAATAATTGATCGACAGCTATGAATTGATGATATGATTCTATAACGTATTATTTAGATGCTTAAGTAAAACGATATCAGTGCGTTTCTTAGCGGCAGCTCAATCCATAAGAGAGGCAAGAAAAACTGGATAATTAGGTGTTCCCCATCCCGTAACCGGATCCCAGGAAGGGGAGGCGCAGAAACCCTTCCCCTCAACTTTATCATCCAGACAACTGAGATGACATCCCACTGTTACCTAAGAGCAAGAGGAGAAAGCACTGTGAAAATCAACAATTTGCTGAGAAGATACGGTTACTGAAGCAGCAGAACTAAATGTTTAAACAGTCACGCTTAAGCTTCTAGTTAGTCAAGCTCAATTTCACACATTGCTGCAGTCAGACATGTCTGTGCAGTGCATTTTTAAGCTTTGCCACAAGGGGCTCTACTAGATCAAGAAATTCCAAACAGTCCCCTAAAAAGTGCTGGGTTCCACACAATCGATTTGTGTTGAGACAACATTATGAAATTAAGCTAACTTATTCGCTTTTACAAATTTAAGTGGATTGAACAAATCAATTAAGTTGTCCTAACTCCTCAATAATCATGTTAAAGCAGCTTATTTTAAATTAGTTTGAACAAACAGGAAATGCCATTTTTTAAGGTGTAGAACAACATTGTACTTTAAAGTGGACCCAATACCAAATTCTGAGAACCACTCATCTGTTTAATAGTTTTTAGCCCCAAGTAAACCACACATTTTTGGGTCCAAGCAAGATCATTTGTGTGTGTGTGTGTGTGTGTGTGTGTCTTTAAAAGCAAGTGAGCTGCTACACTTTCTAAAAGAGGACCGTGCCTTTACAGCTTGTGCCTCAAATACTTGATCATCAAACTAAAATACACTTGTCTATCTACAGATATTGACTAGGACACACCAAACTGACATAAAAGAATGAGCAGAAACGACAACTGACTGTGCTGTTGCCTTAAGTCAGGGTTGTCAAACTCAATTCCTGGAGGGCCGAAGCCCTGCACAGTTTAGTTCCAACCCTGCTCCAACACACCTACCTGTAGGTTTCAAACAAGCCTGAAGGACTCAATTGGTTTGATCAGGTGTGTTTAATTAGGGTTGGAACTAAACTGTGCAAAGCTGCGGCCCTTTTGGAACTGAGTTTGACACCTGTGCCTTAAGTCATCTGTGTCTGGTCCTGTCTAGACCAAAATGATGTACGTGTCTGCATGAATAAATATAAATTTCCATATCTGCAGGTGTATGAACAGGCAGTATATGTATTGTCATACCACAAAGGGAAACCAAAGCTAGTACTGCACACATATAAACCGTTAACATTTTCACAGTATTTGATGCTCACAACAGCGGGACATCCTTGTGCAAATGTTTATGATAATCCAGGTCATTTGCATAATTTGTATATGTAATTTATCTTAATAAATACACTCTTATTGACACAAAATAATGCAAAGTTGGATAAATACTTTCAAATGTGTAAAAAAATGTAGAGATTAAACTGTCAAATAAATAATCTGCAAACACTTACATCATAAAGGCCTTTGCCTTGCATTTTGTAAAGGCGAGGGTTGATGAATCCCAAGGCGGGAAGGCCCTTCAGAAAGCGCTGGTCATTTATGAGGGACAGAATTCCACCCACTACTGGAGTTGATGCCTTCGAGAAAAAAGAGGAAATCCAGATTACAAAATATCACTCTTTAATGGGTACTGTATTGAACCTGAATTTTGTCATTTATATTGAACATTAATTCTGCATTTTATTTTGTACACCTCTTTAGCACTAGTGATGGGTATCTTTTTCGTTGTTATTTCAGAAAAAAAGTGTGCTGCAAAAAGGACTTAAGGGACTTTGGAATCCCTCAAAGTTGTTTATGATGAAATGTTTCAAGATAGTGTCACAACGCATACCTATGTGTGCCTATGATGTACCCTTTGATGCTTCTTACGTTTTTGTCGCAGCACGAGTGGCACCGAAATTCATATGCTAATTCGGTCCAGTGCATATCGGTTACATAGATGCATCGTCTTTGACAGCTTACAACCTCATTTGGCACTTTCACCAAGTACGTTTACGTAGACACCAATACTCCGATTTCAATATGATTAAGACAATTCTCTGATTAAGAGTCTATCCTGTAAACAGTGATTTTTGATTACCTTAAAGGACCACATGTTGCTGATTTAAATGAAACATGCCGAACTGCAGCTAAGGTGGAAAAATAAAAATCTGAAATGACAACAAACTCCAGAGGAAACGTTGGATAGCGTGATGACGCAGTGACGTCAATCACTTTATGTGCTATAACATGTAAAACATGATCATAAAGGAACATTCAAAAAGCAACTCATGCCATATTACATGTCAACTTAATCATTCTCTTATCTTATTCAGTCTTATTCACATTATGGCAAGTAATTAATTCGATTATAAAAAAATGTTAATTTTAAACTTTATATTGTTCAATAAAAAAAAAAAAAAATGTTATATATATATATATATATATATATATATATATATATATATATATATATATATATATATATATATATATTTTTTTTTTAAATCAGATAGAAGACTTTTCTAGAGTCGTTCACCATAATTTTGTGGCTCAAAAGTATCAGGCACTGTTTAGCACCCCAAACGATACCCAACCCTACACCTGAGTCTTCAAAATATTAAGCAGCATCATGTGACATTGTTGAAAACTGTGATAAGTTTGGCAGTTTTTTTAATAAATAGGTAACAAAAAACTAATTCAAAGCATTTGAAAAAGGATAAATGTCTTTACTGTGACTTTAGATTAAGTTGATGCCAGCTTGTTGAATATATTAATAAATTATTAAATTAATTAAAAAATTAAATATATCTCTGAATTTAAGTCAAAGTCCTAAACATTTCATTGCAATTTTGCATTGCATCTACAATAATACATTTTTGTACAACAACACAAATATGACAATATACGATTTGTAAACCAGGTGGACCTGGTGATTTGGGGGCCCTAGCATTTATGAAAAATAAACTGCATGTTATAACATTTGGTGCTAGGGGTTCTGAAAAGTCGGCAAGTTGTAATCACTGGCTGGCAATGTATTGACTGAAGCGCTCCTACTGTACGGAAGGAACGTTCCATTATTCTTGGGGGCCCAGATTTGAAAAGAAGTAACAGCATTAGAATATTAACAGTTATAGACAGATTTTACAACTTATGATAGAGCTGTATGAATAATATAGGTTTCTCGGCATTGGTTTTTCCCCAGGAAAATTCCCCGAGGCCCTAAGCGGCAGCTTACATTGCTTATTGGTTAAGCCCGCCCCTGCTAGTAAATAATGTTGATATTGCACTTGCAAAACTTTCTTTTGATATTATCTACCAACCGAAGTTCCAGAAACCCATGGGATGGGCACACGGTTGGAGACGACCCAGTAGTTGTCAGAAAGCGCCGCTAGGTCTGGATAAGCTCTTCCAGTGGTGTTAAAATATGTCTGAGGAGGAAGAGACTGAACACTCTTCAGATACGCTCTAACAGCATCAACCTACAGAAAACAAATAAACACACATATCTTGATTTGTAGAGTCTTCACAACAAGCCAATAGTTAAACCCCCCTCACTGAAATTATAATACATTGCATGCAGCTAGAAAAGTGTTTCTTAACGACAGTGCTATAATACTCATACTAGTGCTGCAGTATGCAAATCATTTGTTTACTTGTAACATCAAAATGAGCCTTAATCATGTTTCAAACAAAACGTGTGAAATCTGATATTCACCATAGACAGTTAGGTCATGTAAATGTGCCAGCTAGAACAACAGCTAATAAAATGTGTTACATTTAAGACCATGTTTGCATGTGCGATGCACTACTGTTCTGTGTTGACATACATACAAACATGCATCATGTTTATTCATCAGAAATATATTTTTTTTAAAAACTAGCCGATGTTTCATTGCCTAGTATGAAAAGTGCTACCTCAAAGACAAAAATGGGTCTCTTTGCATACTAAAGAAACAAATTAAAAGCTTAAACCTTAGCATGATCAAATTTTATTTGACACTTTTTCCCCCAGTCTCCTTACCGCAACTCGCTCTCAAAATTGTCATTAACACCATAGTGACCACAGCAACATTCTGACATCTCGAGCATTTGGCATCCATTATTTTTGACTCGAGGACTATGTTTGGCAGATACACGTTTGTTTATTTATGAGACAGAGGCTACTTTTTTTAAAGACCTCTCCTGGCTATGTCCAATTAAAAGCATTTTTAGCCTCGTTGTTTGGGTTTGGTTTGGATAGAATAGATCTTTATAGTTTTTGTTTTGAAGCAACGAAAGACTGTTTAGCAACCTACAAGGTTTTGGCATAATAGACTAACATATATAAAGAAAATAAGAAAGAAGTGTTCCTAAATGCAAAACAAAAGTTTTGAACACATCCCCATTTTTCTCAGAAAACATTTCTAAAGGTGCTGTTAACATGAAATTTTCCCTGAATGTTGGTAACTAATGTAAAATGAAAGGATGCAGGGAAAAGTATTGAACACTTGAATAAAGAGAAGTGTAGAAAGGCAGTGAAAGCCCAGACAGTAGCTGAAATCTCTCAGTATTTCATCAACAACCCTCTGCCATTCATCATTGTAAACGAATATTAGCTGCCTCATTCCAACATCGACATTATCCGGATGCTGAAAATAATACCAGAGTGGAGCAAGAAAATGATCCAAAACACAGCCAAGGAAACTCAAACGCTTTCAGAAATTCAAGCTGTAGAATGGCCCAGCCAATCACCTGACTCGATATAAAATGCCAATTAAAGATCAGGTTTGATAGACGAGGCATACAAAACCATCAAGATTTTTACACTCTGTTGAATTCTGTGAAACCTAAGCAATTCAGGTGACGTCATTCCTCATATGAGAGGTGTCTTTACGCTGCCATCACCAAAAAGCCTTTTATATAAAGTATTAAATGTGTTCAGTAGTTCAGTACATTATCCTTGTGTCATTCCATTGTTTTTACACATACTTTTCTTTTTTGTTTTGTTTCATTTTATGCTTGTATTGTTTGGGTTTTTACCAAAATCTAGTTCAATTCCATGTCTACAGCTCCTTTAGAAATATTATTCCCAGGAAAAACAATGTGTGTGCAATATAAGACTGTATAGTGCAAACTAACAACAACTTACTCATAAAGCACGTACATTTACTTCAATAAAGAAGGAAGACTGAGGCTGCAATATATTTGTTTGTTTTCAATCTATAACAATTTTATTTATTTTGATTCATTATGAGCTTGTTTTTAGCAATATCTGGCAATTAAATGCTCATAACTCTGTGATTTCCAGGCCCACATGAAAGATGCACACTAAAAATATATATAAAAGGGACAGTTCACCCAAAAATGAGCATTTACTCGAAGTTCACCCACACTCAAGCGGTTCCAAATTCTAATGTGTGACTTTCTGTTGAAAAAAGTTAACCTGTAATAACTTAGCAAATAGCAATAGAATAAACAAATAATGTGGAAGTCAATGGTTACAGTTTTCTTCAAATTATCTTATTTTGTGTTCAACAGGAGAAATAAAGTCAAACAGGTTTAGAAAGGGTGAGTAGTTGACAGTTTTCATTTTTGGGAGAACTATCCCTTTAAGCACTAGTATGATGTTACACTAAAAGAATTGTTTGTGGGATGTATATTTTTTTGTCACTCCTATAAAAGCCCACTGAATACACTGCAGACTGATTTTTTGCAGCAACATAAGCATAGCAAAGAAAACCGGCCGATCATGCTTTACCTGATAATCCGGCATTGGAAACACATTACTGAAGCCGCCTCCGCTGATGTAATCTGTGACCTCATAGCTGAGTTTGAAGGGGTTTTGAAAAGAAGTCCCACCCACAGTGGTCACATACGGACTAGTGATGGAAAAGATTCAATTGTTAATCAGTTTATCAGTATTATACAGATTATTTAGAAAGCAATATCCACCTGGAAGCAGGAAAACTTGGCCTAAAGGTATTTCTTTCTTTGGTCAGGTGTCTACAGCCTGCTCCACTGTCACCTGCATTGATACATCCAGTGTATGGGAACAAACATTTTTGATAACCTTTTTATTTTATTTTTATATTATAAATTAAAAACAAAGTATGTAGCACCTTAAAGATGACTTTTGTTATCTTACCAGAAGCAAAGAGCATGGATATCCCTCTGAGGCCAGCCTTCATGAACTCAATGTTGATGCGGTTCATGTAGGCTTCAGACAGGCTGTCTTCATCGTCTCCATAGCTGATGGTGTGAACCCATGGCACAGCAGACATGTTACTGAGCAGCAGCATCCACTGGAGAAACGGCTCCTGAGACTCATGACGACCTGCAACGCAGAGCACAGGGAACGCTGGGATTTTTACAATGCATGGAGTGGAAGTATCTGTTTACTGAATTTGTAATATCCAGCAGACATGATCCCTAATGCAACATTACTTGTCAGTAAAAACAAAACAAAAAAACTACAAAATAACAAAAATGCACTAAAATTGAATAGAAAACAAATTTCCAATACAAATGATTAAAATATCATTATAATGACTAAAAAGAACACTTTAATTAAAAAACTAAACTACAAATAAAATAGCTGACCCCATTTTTTTTTAAGTTTTAGAAAACTAATTGTAAAAAAATATAACAATAAAATAGTATTATATAAATTTTTTATTAGTATGTTTTATAGTTATTATTAAAACAATCAAACTATAATGCACTAACAAAAAAAAAAGTTACAGACAAAAAAATAAATAAAAATAAAAAACACTAGAACCAAGTAAAATCTAAATAAAAAAATAATAACTAAACAGATGTTTTGAAAACCTCTAAAAAATGTTTAAAAAAATAAAAATAGTAACTACAAAAGTATGACAAAAAATTACATACCAACATAAAAAAAATTTTAATATACACGTTATTAATTAAAAACACGTCAATGTTCAAATAATACCAGTGTGGATGTCAAACCTGGATTAGTGAAGACCCATGTAGAGATGTTTGCTCCACTGCTCATGATGTATTCCACATCCAAACTGGCCTCAATGCCAGCTTTCCCTCCTCCCTGAGTGCCCACGACCCGCTCCACAGTAGACATGTGTGTGAATCCACCACCAAACAGACTCATGAACTCAGCCAGGTCAGCAGGGTGGTAGTACTGCTCCAAAAACTAACCAGTGTACAAGGTCAAGTTAGAGGAGATATTTCACTACCAAAATGAAAATTACAGAGAAAATGAATATAAAAAAACAAGTCTTTACCATATTTACCCAGTTGATTGATTACATTAAGTACTACAAACTAAAATGCTGCTTAAATATTCAAATAAAGCATCATTCTATTAAACATTCACACATTTGCACAATTCTAGAATAAAAATGGAAGCAAGGTTAAAAAAAGCTTGTTTCTTTTTTGTTTGTTTGTTTTAAAAAGGATTTTACTTGGGGGATTTTGGGAATCTTATTTTATCACTCAATAATTGTGAAAAAAAACTGCTAAGAGTCACATAAAACCATTGTCACAATTTTAGTAAAATAAAATGTTCTAATTAATTTGCTTGATTATATGTGTAAATCCCCCCTATAAAAAAAACATTTAAGACCTACAAACATGGATAAAGTTTGACAATAGACAAAGGTATTGACAGGTGCGTGATCAAAAAAACGCAAGCATGGATGAGTGAAACCTGCACAGTAAATATGAAAGGTGTACCTGAGCCACTGCCTGGCTGTTGTTGGCGGCAGTCCCCACATCTTTTGCTGTAAGGTTGTAGCGATTCCTGATGACTGCAGGAGTGACACCCAAATGATAGCCTAATATGGCTTGACGTGCTCCTTCCCAGCCTTTACTCACAATCTTGCGTTTTTGTGGAAAACGGTGAACTCCTCCAACTAAACAATAAAAAATATAAACATCATAAAAAGAACGACTTAAAGACTATCTATAAGGAACACCATATAACAGATATTTGGAATTAGTAAAAATAAATTATGAAAATAAATGTTAAAAAAGGACAGGAAATAAAAATGTGATACTGATAATGCAAATGATCAATAATGAATTAGTTACTTTTCTATATAGTTTATGATATTGAGTCATTTATAGTAATTTTGTTGTTTTTGTAAAATCTTTGTAACAATGTTTGTAACATCCTATGTTAATGTTTTCCCATTTAAACTTTAATTTAAGTCATTTTTATGTTTTGTAATTTTTAATAAAAGGAATTGAGCTGATTAAGTTGCATTGATTAAGCCAGATGATATCCTTTTTAAACATTTAGTGCAGTAGAAAATAAAGGTATCTCATAAAATTTACGGAGAAGTGAATCAAACTGAGCTACTTGATGTCTGGTGTTTTTGGCCACTTGCAGTGTACGTCATGCTTTCAGATGCACAAACGCTAAATGAAGCCAAGTTAAAAAAAAAAACTGAGACTGCTGAATTTGATTTGTTTGGTTCTGTCAAACCTACACCTACTCTGAAGCTCAGAGTGTGTTCAGCATGTTTTATGCAGAACTGCAGAGAGGAACTAATGATGTCAGCTCCTCACCAAAGTCTAGATGCTGATGCACATCTTCATGAACTGAATACTGAGATGTCGACCTCAACAGAGTTTTTGTATTTTTACTGAATCGGTGAAATTTACTGCCAGGGAGCAAAGCTTCAGCCACCCTTAAAAAAGAAAGACAGAAATGAGAAACCAAAAAAGTAAATACATGGAGGAAACAATTATAAAATCACTGCTAACAATGGCAATATTTAATCAAAACTACATGAAACACTACTGATAAAAAGACCTGTCAATTTTAAGCTTTTTATGAAGTGTTTCAGTCTGATGTAAAGCAACATCCAAAATGCAATTCTTTTTTCTTTTGTCACACTTCAGCAATTTGTGTCTGAAAATTTCAATTACAGAACACTTTCTAAACTTTTTTTTTTAAAACAAGTTTTTTTTATCCTGCACCTCATTGCAAAAACCACCACTTCGATAGCTTTCACATACACCAAACTTCAAAGTTTTATTCATATCTATACATGTCTATTCTAAAGTTTTTTTTTTGTTTTTTTTCTGAATTATGATAAATAAAATGAGTTAAATCCCACTCCAATATCTCAAAAAATATCTGAAAACTATTATTTTTTTACTTTCTTCATCTACAGTGAAGTGATTTTTTCTGCCATGAATAGTGTAGAATTCACTAAAATTGTTCTTACTCCACAGTCATGACACACTGAAGGAAGTCCCGTGTTATAATAGTGTGACAGTCCATGACCCCATGACTCCGAAGCCAATTCTCTACCACTTTTTCAGTCAGCGGAGAAGGTCTGGAAAGAGCAGCGACTTCGTCCAAACTCAGATACTTCCCTAAAAAATATAACAGGAATGGAAATCTGATGACTCAGTCGATCAATTGATGACTCGGCTGAATAGATTCAATTGCAGCATTTGAGAAGCATATTAATACCATATTGATGTGAATCTGGATCTGATACTAGTTTGAGTAACTCTTCCATCTTGCTAACATTCTGCTGCTTCAGCGCAAACGTTAGTTCAACTTCTTCCAATGGTCCAACCCGTCCAAGAAATGTCCAGTCCCCAGGTACACTAAAACAACAGGGAACATGATTAAGTTTGTTTTGTTTTGTTTTGAAAATAGAGATTGTGAAAATTGCATGAAAAAAAGATCAATGTATTTTATAGTTTGGACTAGGCAGGTTATTGTAAATATTATTACAATATTGATTTATGCTACAAAATATGATTAGTTTAACATGCAATTCAACATTTTAGTGAAATACCTTATTGTAATTAAAGGGATATTTCACCCAAAATATTTTAATTCTCTCATCCTTTGCTTGTTCCAAGCCAGCTTGAGTTTCTATTTTCAGTTGAACACAAAAATGCATATGCTGAAGATTCTTGTAGGGTTGGGGGGCATCAATTGACTTCTATCGTATTTATTGTCGTTGCTACCATGGATGTCAATGACCCTTTTCCCAACATTATTCAGAATATCGTTCATCTCACTTTATTTATTTTTTTTTTATTTGTTTGCTTTTTTACATAAGTTAGTTAATGTTAGATTTACAAAACAGCAGCTGAACCTATTAGCTAGATTAAATAAATGCTCAAAACGATTTCAACAAGTGATTAAACTTTAACATCACCTATGATAAATAAATGTTTTATAATTTTCCCATCATCAAGTCTGCACACAATCAGAATTTATATTATTCATTTAGCTAACTCACATTGTTGAGCTACATTGTAAACATTTTTAAATCAATATCTTGGACATGTTCTAGACCTGAAAATGGTTAGGTCACTTAAAAATATTGTTCAAATCTCATTCGTTCATTTCATCATCAACAAATTAAAATATTTTAGACCTCTCTCTCATCATCCATAAACAGGATAATAAAAATTATCCAGACATGTTTAAATAAGGAGCAAACATTATCAAAACATTCCACATGACTTGTAATTATATGAAGACCCAAGAACAAATTGTCATGAGAAAAAAAAAAAAAAATCAAATATCCTTATATTGCCTATGTTTTCTCTCCCTCATCAAGTCATCAGGGTCTATATTTACTATGGGCAGTGTACGTATTACCATTAGAGTCAGCAGCACAACATGCAAGCACTGTTTTATTATTAGTATTGTCTATTTGAAATGAGAACCCTATTCTTTCTCAAGCTGTTTTATAGTCTTTTTCTATGTAATTGTTCTTGGAGTTTAATATGATTACAGATGAAGCACTGAAGTTAGATGCAATGCTGCTTTTTGTGTTTTTGTTTCTTTTTCTGGACTTTACATTTCTCAGGACTGTTGCTGTCTAGAGGACCACGATCTTGGTTTATTCTAAAATATCTTAATTTGTATTCTGAATATAAATGAAGGTCTCAGGAGATTGAAAAGAAATTAGGGTGAGTAATTATTAAGAGAAATATTATTTTGGGTAAACTTATATAAATACATTAAGTTTTCAAGCATTTTTTAAAAAGTTTTTTTAAAGTATGAATACAACAGTATGAATATTCTTAAAAAGTGCTGTACATTTTGAATAATACATATTCACTGGATTTTAAAGTACCAAAAATAACAATATCATGCGTGTTCACAAAATCACAATGTAGCTACCGCATTCTTGAATATCGGCAAATGTCTAGTTTGGACTTACACAGCATCTTGGTCAGCCTCGAGCAGCTCTCCATTGACGAGCCAAATGAAGCTCAGCACAAAAACAGCAACCCTATAAAAATACAACACTGTCACTTTAAGAGTTCACTTAAAAAAATTAAAAATGAATTATTTAAAGGTCAACGGACGAAGACATCAATAAAGTTACTGAACTGACTTTTGTCTCTTTTCTTACTTCAAATAGTCAATCTAAATGATTAAAATGCTAGAAGGCAAACTAGCAGCTCACATGTGAACTCGTTTCTGGTCGAACTCTCTCTCTCTGTCCTGACCATCTGACCTCGCGATGTGAACCACAGTCTCAAACAGTCTCTGCAAACATTAAACTAAGACTGCCGGAAGATAACACAAAGCAAATAAAAAAGTAACTCACCGCATTGCTTTCGTGTTCGTGCACCTTGACAAACACAACACCAGTGTCCGTTTCCGAATCAGTCCAAATGTGCTGATCATGTGAGCGTCACGTGATCATCAGCTGATCTTTTGTTTTGATTGAGGAAGTGCATGTGCGGATAATATGCAAACGAAATCGTGAAAACAGAGGTATAGCATGATATATCTCATGTCCTATGTTATAAATATTTTAGTGTCAAATTTTGGGTAATTTTGAGTATTTTTTGTATAAAGTTATACTTAAGTCGTGTGACCAAACTCCAAAATAGTTACAATGTGTTTTGTTTGTGTCTGTTATTCTAAGCAATCCAGATATAAGCACTCAGATTGGTTAATTTTTAAAATAAATAAAACAAAATAAGTTTTAAAAATAAATATAACTTTTAAAAATAAATGTTAGTTATTTAAATAACTTTTAAAAAGAGCAGACTAAAGAATTAATTTCATTTTATGACGTTTGGGCAAGTGTACTTGAAAATGCCCATAGAGATCAATTGTGGGGGTTAGTGACCTGTTAATAGATAAGCTTCTGACGCTGCAAAACAAAACAAAGATGACATGATTGAGGTCAACTTTATATAGTGAGTTGTTGGAAGTTGAAAAAAAATAAAATACTCTGTTTAAGGGGGTTTAAATGGAGGGGGTTAGTTATTAATGTTCCGAAAAAGGTAAATAAAAATGAATTATAATGAACCTAATTCATAAAAATATGTTATTGTTATAATTATTGTAAAACAAAATAATTAATATCAGTTTTAATGGGTCACAATAGATATAATCATGAATAATTTAATTCCTAATTAAAAAGTAAAATATTGAGTTCAGGAACAGAATTCAGCAAGAAATGAAGGAGTGCGATCTTGATTCATGGCTGCTCTAATTTATATTCATATATTATTTTTGAGTTATCCAGTAATTAAGTAATATTCATTCATTCATTCATTCATTTTCTTTTTGGCTTAGTCCCTTAAATAATCCGTGGACACCAAAGCAGAATAAACCACCAACTTATCCAGCTGGTTTTTGCGCAGCGGATGCCCTTACAGCCACAACCCATCTCTGAGAAATGAGTCATAATTAACATTTACAAATTTTGATTTTAAGTTGTATAAATAGATTATGATCCTCGTTCTTGTCTGTTTTGAGAAAAAAAACTGAAAGGAGGTAAGAGAAAGAGAGAGAGAGAGAAAGATACGATTTTTAGGAAAAGGTGTTTAAAAGATGACCGATCATTCCCAAGATGATTTGGACATCTTTGACTTTCTGTCATTGGAGGAGTAGACCTATTGGGTTTGGATTTTCATTGACAGTTATGAAAATATATGCTCTGATTTTGGCGTCTACATGTGAAGATTGTGTTTATTAATCTATGTTTAACCAACTAGAATCATTCTATGTGACGTAATGAAGTAGATAATGGCCTGACTGTATACGCAGATCAGCTCATCAAGTGCCAGAAAGTCAGAGATGTCCAAAACATGTTGAGAATAGTCTGTGACCCTTTTGGACACCGTTTCCTGAAAACTGTCTCTCTCTTCCTCTCTCTCTCTCTCTCTCTCACACGCACACAAACAGAGAAACTTTGGCCACTTCAAGGCCACTCCAAGCCTCCTAGCACGCTTGTTTTTCAAAACATTCTGATATTAATGAATTTTCTCAGAGGATGAAAACAGCAATAACAAACTAATAACTTTTTATTTATTTTTTTTGAATATTTTTTATTTACTTTATTAACTCAAAATCAGAATTATTTAAAGCTTATTAATAATTTAATTACTGAATTACTTTAAAAATTTACATTTGACCCTAGACCATGAAAATTTATGTTTGTGGGAATAGCCAATATACGTTATGTTTTTTTTTTTATGACAAAAATCATCAGAAGAACTAAGTAAAGACCATCTTCCATAAAGAAATTCAGTAAATTACATAACATATATATATATATATATATATATATATATATATATATATATATATATATATATATATATATATATATATATTGTTAGTCATAAGCATTGCTATATAATGAGAATATTCCATATATACTCAAAAATGACTTTTGCTGTTTGTTCAAACTACTTAACTAATTATTTAAAATGAGATGAAACAACACAATTCTTAGGTTTGTTTCGAGGACAACTTTATTGTTTTATATTCAATTCAATTAAATTTGTAAAAAAAAAAAAAAAAAAACTATCTAAAAAGTTATCTTCAAATATTTTTGTTGGGACAACACAAAGGAATTGTTTGGAACTTCTATAACTCTGAAGATAAGAATAAGTTTTTTCCAAGATGCTTTTCAGTTTATCTCCTTCTGAAAGCATGACAAGCTGTGAGGTATTAGTCCATTAATGTCATCTGATGGCTCTGATTATGGGAACAAGTTCATAATAGATGTTTCTTTGGCTGCTTGAATGTGTTTAATGTGTTTTACTGACTCTACTGAATATTAGTCATAATGAGGTCAGAGAGAAAGCAGCAGAAATGTACTTTCTGGCAAAAGCTCGATAGTTTGTAACCCAATAGTGCTATATATTATAATAGAGTGTTGGCTAATCCAGCCAGCAAATCAACACACAATCAGCTGCATATCGACGTGGATGAGCTGCCGTATTTTTGTGGTGTAAAGTTGTATAAATTAAGTGTTCAGGTAGTAGCATTGGAAAAAAGCTTTACTTGAATCTGCACATTTCAGGCTGAAATGATTTCGGCCACATATTTCAGCTTAAGAACTTGAGCATGTGTTACCTGTAATGAAATGATAATGGATGGTTATGTTCCGGTAAGTGGCAAGTGAAAAGAAGCATATGCTTTATGATGGTTTAATAGTCTTTATTTTTTTGGTAGTTGACAAGGTGTAAATCAATAGAAAATGGATAGCACGAAGAAAAAAAAACTAATCTAAATCCATGCTATTAATCTACATTATTGAATGCATTCACTAATGGGTTGCACAGCAGAGGGAATATCACATAACATAGCCAAAGCCTTTAAAGCTTTGTAGGTTGTATTTTTTATTTTTTGGAGGGGAAAAAACAAGGATTTTGTATTTGTGTTTAAGAGTTTAATTTAATCTAACCTGATTTGTTTATTAACCATCTAATCGTGAAACAGGGATATTATAGTTAAAACCATAAAACCAAAAAGATCAAAAACTTTAAAGTATTTAATTTCAGCTAGATGAAAAGGACATTTTCATTGTTTAACTTTAAACTATTTTTTAAAAAAGTTTTATATTAAATTAATTAATTAATTAAAAGAATAAACCAATAAATAGCATACAACAAAATTAAATAACATTTAATATAAAACCAAAAAAGATAACAATACAGGTGACTGCATACTGTTAACTAAAACTAGAATACTATATTACAACTAATATTAACTGAAATAGATTACCAGCAAAATCATAACAAAATGACAAAGAATATAAATGTAAGTACAAATAAACTCTGTACATATACAAAATAAATGAATGACTGACTGAATAAATGAATAAAGAGAATCTGCCTTAAGTGTGTTAAAGGAGTTCAGTAAGTAATTTAAGATTTCTTTAAGTGGCACTGAAATTGAGTTTACCGATAGCTGAATTCACACTGATGTATATGAAGCTTTAACAAGTAAGTTTAATTTAATCATATGTAAATTACGGTTTTGTAAACTTCATTTTCCATACTCTCGTCATAATTCCGTAAGAAATGAAACATTATATGTTCACATGCAGTAATAAAACTGCAATACAATTTAAGATTTATACCTCTAGAAACCTCCCCTTATTACCAATTTGTTTATAAACAATTCCAGAAAACATGAGGTTGATTTTGTAGTTGGAAAAAACAATTTCCTTACAATTGAAGTTAGATGTGTGACATAAAGACTTACTTTTTAAATCAAATGTATGGACTATTAATGCAAGTAAATATATAAGTTATACAAGTAAAAATATTTTCAAGCTAAAGCATGTTTTACAATTTATAAACGTACAACACTAGTATTATAGTCAACTGTAGATGGCAGTGCGCGCACATTAAAATATGCGATTACACAAACGATGGCAAGTAATAAAAAAGTGAATTAAAAATACTGTAAAAAAGCAATTACTTTAAGTCAAAACAGTATTATTGCCCTCAAATATAATAATAAAAAATACAGTTATGCCTGTTTAAAAGACATAATTATTTTATTTCATATTAACAAAAATACATCTATAGGCCCACTAATGCAAAGATGAATAACTCGGCTGTTTTATTGTAATATATTCATATTTTACAATAGTTACGCTCAGTTTGTTTAGTATTATAAAGAATAAAGTGACACCCTTATTCCTAATCAAAATTAACCCACTCTTTGGTGATTGAAACACACATTTCTCAATCTGTTTCCGAAAGAGGGCGCCCTCTGAACATCGAGCAACAGGCAATCAGCGTCTCGCATTCAAGATATTAACACTATCTAAAGAGCAAAGGGGAGTTTCCAAAGTCATCAAGTCCATCCAACTTTGCCATTTTCGGCCAGAGACCACTGAAAATGACTCCCAAGAAGACTGCCGCTCCCTTCCTATGGGTTTCCTTGTGCTTTGGGAATGTTCTTGAGGCGGTGGTGCTGGGATCGGCGCTGTATCCCTCTGATAACGGGCTCCACTCACATCTGGATGCGCGCGGTCCAGCAGGAACCAGCGCGAGCTCCCGGAACGAGTCCACATCTGTTCATGTTCCGTCTTACATGATCTCTCTGTACAGAACTCTGTCTGAACTGGACCGACGGACTGGTAACGGCAGTCACACGCGCTCCAGGAGATATGCCAACACGGTCACCAGCTTCATGGATCTGGGGCAAGGTGAGAGAGACAGACAGACATACAGACAGAGATATAGATGGATGGGGTGTAAAATAATCTCCTCCTTGAGGCCATCGGTGCGGTTTTTATATTTACAGATTGAGTCTGATCTGTTGATTTTGATGTATTACACTTGGCACATCAGATCTGCAGTATGGCATTACGCACATGTTGCAGTAATAAATCATGTTGCTTATTGGCTATAATTGACAGCTGTCAATCTAAGACGATTGATCTCTACTTGACTGACATTATTAATCCATGATATAGCCTTTAACTTATTTTATGTTCTGAATAGTACTATTTTACTAATTATATTTTTTTAATGATTATTAGTTGCCTATTATTATTGTTGGTTGTGGTGGTGGTGATGTTGTTGTCGAATAATATAATTAGCTAATATTAATAACAGTAAATATTAATAATTATAATACGAACCAAAACTCCTAATTATCACTTTTGATAAGTGACTAACAATTAGCTATGCATAAAGACATTTACGCGCCGTTATGTATGTATTAGAATTAGTTTAACCTAGTTTGTGTCCTAATGAAATTATTGGCCACAAAAATACATTCGTTTAGAAAAAAAAGGCTAGAGTGATTTCATACTTTTCAATTGTATAAATATGTCTACTGGGTATGTCTGCGTAATGCGTAATTGCTTTAAAACAAGCTTAAAACTTCACTTTTTTAGCATACCGCCAAATAATATGATTAAAATAACATAATGCAAAAAGAAATATGAAGTCAAATGTCTCAAATTTCCAACATCTGTGGCAAATAAAACTTCAGCAGCACCTTGAGCTAAAGTATCTAAAACAGAGCACGCGCTCTCCCCTCCAGGTGCTGCTGATAAAGAAAGAGAAACATTTTAATTTGAAACGTATGTTCAAATAAAGATTGTCACGTGAAATACAGAATTTGTGAAATGTAGTGTGTCAGTCCGCCGTCCGGCCAAATATATAGATATGTTTAAAGAAAAAAAAAACGATGTGCGAGAGATTGAAGTGACACCCATGCATCGACAGGCCAGCTATTACATGTTGAGGGCAGACCCTTTGAATAATAAAAAGCGCCCAGTGTCACATTTGGTAAGGGGTATGGTTAAGTAGGCTATGAATTCCAAAAGTCATTTTCTGACCATATTTCCCAACATTTTGTGAGGAGTTGAGTCTTAACATCTGATTTTATTTCTGTGAGATCTTACAAAGCAAACAAAAAAGACGTGCATAACTTTGTTTAAAATTCAATAGAGGACTGAGGAGATAAAGCTGCATTCACACATCATGAGCAATGTCCAAATATCATTTTAATTTTTTTGAATAAAGCTGTCTTCACTTATATAACAATAGCATGAAACAATAATTCTTCTAAAAATATCTATTAAACATGAATCTATGATCTAATGAATTTCATTAAATGTTGTTGGTACATAAATAAATGCATCAGCCCTAACCATCAATTAGCAGTTTTAACATGTTTGCTTTGAAAATGAACAATTTCTGGTTCCAATCTGACCTATAGCATGGCGTTGTGGTAACATCACCTGTCCCCATCACAAATGATGCCAATGGATGAGACAAAAAAAAGGTAACACTTTATTTTGATGGTCCATTTGAGTATTAGTAGACTGTCTTCTTAATATCTGTTGATACTGCAGCTAAATAGAAATTTAACTGACTATAAGAAACTTTGCAATACATGTCAACTTACGCTAACCCTAACCCCAACCCCAACCCCAACCTTACAGTCTACTTATAATCTAATGAAAATTAGTAAATTCAACAAACAGACCATCAAAATAAAGTGTGACTAAAAAGAAACCTAATGAAAATCTTTGTGTAAAATTTGATGACCAATATGACTGTCTGAAGACATAAAAACTTTCCCAGGGTACTGGAGTCACTGAGTGCCTCAGCTTATTCTTAATGTTATGTCATTATTTAGTCTTGCAAGCAGATATTAGCTCAGAGGAGGATACTTTACTTTAAACCCCTCTCCTCTCTTCACCTTTCATTTTATAGCATTCATTTGTCTCATATAGGAGATAAACATATAGTGCTTATATTTGAAAATACCTTTTGGATGGTCCTTCATACACTCATGTAGCACCACAGGGCAGGTACAGCATTTCTGTTCAGTCCCCAAAAGTCTGGTAGCTTAGTTCAAACAGTTTGCAATCACCATTTTCAGAACCTCCCTCATAGCATAGCATCAATATGATATGTCCTGATCTGGCTTTGGGTTTTTTGTGCAGCCAACTCATATTGGATGAATCCTCTTCATGTTTAACCCATGAAACTGTGGTCCCCATATCAGGTTGCATGCTACTCTGGGTTTCATTTTTGAACTGGTTGTCAAGATGTCAACATCGAAGCTTGTTTTACTCTGAGCGCAAAGTCTGGTCTCTCTTAGCAAAGGTTGGTTCTGCATTATCTCAGTTACGGATGAGACTGAATATTGGATGTGTTTTGCAAGCAATTTCATTCTCCAGACAAAGAAAACAAAGAAACAGAGAAGAGAAGACAGCATCTTGCAGTCATAGATTTTGTTCCCCTACTGTGATTTCAAGTTAGCCATGCGAATAATGAAAGACCAGTTCCAGTTCACGGTGGCCACAGAAAACCGAGGTCCACCTCAGCTTGAAATGTTACCTAACATTTAATTACACCCTTAAGCCACCCACTTTTCAAATTTACTATGTCCTCCTTGGGACATATAGAGGCAGGAGGAGGACTTGAGCATTTCCAATGTCCTGCCAAACCTTCTTCTCACTCAATCAGTGTAATTAGCAGATGCTGCCAAAGGCCGACGCAGACTGACAGGTCAGCCAAATGCTCTCCACCTGGCCTCCGTAAGCACGCTGCTCCTCATGTTTGGAGAAATCATTCAGGCCCTTGAATGTTATTCTCATCGAGTAGATGTACTGACAATTTGTGTATGCCATTTTCACAAAAGCCATATGCAAGACTGCTGAGGCAATGCATTAGTGTCTGCCTCTTGTAAGCGGCTTGTAATAAGTTCTTATTTTTAATATTCAGCGCTAATTCATTCTTTCTCTTATACCTTTAGATGAGCCTTCACTTATGTTCCAGCAGCAGTACACATTCAACCTGTCTGGACTCTCCCGACTGGATGAACTGATGGAAGTGGAGCTGCGGGTTCTGAGGAGGCCACCGCAAGATGTCTTAAGCTTACTCTCTTATGGTGGGAACCTGTATCGTCTGCTGCTTCACACCTGCTCACTTCCAGGATCTCTTCACCAACCTTTGCTTCTCAGCTCCAGGACCATCGATCTTCTAGATACCTCTTCAGCCACATGGGATGTGTTTGATGTCGGCCCAATCATAAAGACCCCCCTCAAGCAGCACAGGACTGCAGAAGACACTAGGTTGTTGTGCCTTAGCATATCTGCTGTTTCTGATTCAAATAACGAGGCTGTGCATCCTGGGATGCTGGGTCTAAGCCGCGAGGATCAGCAGACCCATGAAAGAGCCTTACTAGTGGCGTTTTCTCAAGCACGGAGGAAGGAGAACCTCTTTAGGGAGATCCGTGAGAAGATAAGGGCTATGAAAAGTCGGAAGTTTTCTAATCCCACACCAGAGCATAGTATCAAAGGTCATCCGAGGCATCGGCGGAGGAGAAGGACAGCACTAGCAGGCCGTCCCGGAGTAGGACCCATTACCAGCGGAGGAAAGGGAGGTGGAAGACGGAGGACACGCTGCAGCCGGAAACCGCTTCACGTGAATTTCAAAGAACTTGGTTGGGATGACTGGATTATTGCACCGCTGGATTATGAAGCATATCACTGTGAGGGTTTGTGTGACTTCCCTTTGCGCTCACACCTGGAACCAACCAACCATGCCATTATTCAGACCCTCATGAACTCCATGGACCCAGAGTCCACCCCTCCCAGTTGTTGTGTACCCTCAAAACTCAGTCCCATCAGCATTCTGTACATTGACTCGGGGAATAATGTGGTTTATAAACAGTACGAGGACATGGTGGTGGAGAGTTGTGGGTGCAGGTAGCAATGTGAGCAAGGGGTGAGCGACCCCTGGACACTACCCTAAAGCCTCATTCGCGGAGGCTGAGCAAAGCATTGTGGGCAAGACGAAGCAGTCGGAGCTGGTGTAAATGTGTGACAACGAGCATGTGTGTATGTTCAGATGGCGATAAGACAATGAGTTGTTTTTTAGAAGCGAGCGTAGGACATGTGTGCCGAGCAGCTCTAAATTCCCCTTACAACACCAAATAAACATCTCCTCAACGGAAAAATGAGTGAAAACCTGGGCTTTCCAGAAATTATTTTACATCCTGTTAATGTAAACTCAGTGATAGAGTGTTGAAGTATCCTTGCAGCAGCGATAGAAATGTTGGCCCTGTTAAACTCTGTCAGAGTCTGGGAATCTGTCAGCGGCAGCACACAACTATAACTTGTATAACAGTAAAGGTGCTTTGCATGACAGTCAGCTTATAGTCAAGAAGAAATAGCTCAGAAGAGTTTGTAATGCCTCTCTGAGGAGTCTAGCGGTCCTAATCAGATATGGCATTGACTGAGCACTTTTCACTCCAAAGTTTTCCTGGTTAGCATGGCTTCGTTAGCCCCTGTTGGAAGATGTTGTAACTACAACATGTTGTAACCACCATGGCTCTCAGTTGAATTCTATTCAAAATAGCACATTTTTATGAGTCAACTGATTGGCAAGAAAACTGGGTGCAGGAATGAGCACTCAAGAACAAATCTGAGAGATTTGAAAACATAATACTCACATAATACTCACCAATAGCTTTCTTAGTCCTCCATGCAGTATGTTTTTGAAGCTTTAGAGGCTTTTAGAATTATAAAGTAGACAACTTCCAATCTCTAATGTTCAAAAGTTCATATCAAGCTTCCTAAAACTTCACAAGGGTTGTTTAGTTCATCATTTTATATTCTTAAAATAACGTTTTGAATGCTAAAATTAAGCTGCTTAACGAGAAAGAGAAAGGCGTTTTATGAAAAATAAAATGATGATGACACCACATTTGGCTTGGGTCAGATGATAAAGCTGCAGTATAGTACATGATGTGTGCAATATGTGAAAGACAAATGACTTCATTGCATCGAGTGACCTCAGACCTTATTTTGTGAAAGGCGCAGTGAAGCCAAAATCAAAATGATTGCTTTGTTTTATCTCGACACCAGATTTGGAGATCTACTTTCAGCGTTCACCTACATTGACTGAGAGGGTGTGTTTACTTGCGCTGGTAATTAAATTACATTTGTTTGATCCTTTAAATGTCATGACTTATTATGGATTATCATACAAATCCAAAACACATCCCCAAATGCTTAATTGAAAACATTTGCGATAGCAGCAAGGTTAGCAAAAGTGCAACATAATACAATAAGTATAACAAAAACTAACCCAGTTCACACCCAGCTTGAAAAGTGAAAATTCAACGACTTTCTTTCTTTTGTGGGACAAAAGCAGATGTTTTAAAGAATTAAGGTTTATCATTACAATTTGAGATCAATTTAAATGGAAAACAAAAAACATTTTCAGGGCCCTACAGTGGTGTCACCATCAGTTTATATACATTTAGTCAACATTTATGTTACAGCATAACATACAATGATTTTTTTGGTTCGTCTAAAAATTCGTTGCATAGGCTTATAGTTTTATTCATTCACTGAGCCAAAAAAATATAGACCAGTGTTTCTCAACCACGTTCCTTGATGACACCAGCTTTGCACATTTTCCGTGGCTGTTTCTCAATTCCAGGAACGCAGAGAACAGACTTACGCTTTTGTGAAGACCGGTCTTGCTAAGTTATCTCGGAAGGACAAACTCGTTAGACCGTGAAAACACAACGTGTCCTGTGAGAAATGAGACGCTGCGTTCTTCTTGATGGTCAAGTGACCTTCACACATTTTAAACCGATAATTATTGAAACATTACAGCATTCATACAGCAATTTATTGTTATTGACACAATATATACTATGCATAAAGACAAATATATGTTACACAATACAAATAAAACATATTTTAATACGAATTTCAGCAAATAAACACCCTTAATGTGTTTATGCCTTTATTGAGATTTTCATGGTAATGTTTACTTTCACCTGTTTTATTTAGGGAAACTCCTGAGGTAATCTCTGAACTTTAATTATAAATCTATATAAATATCTATATAAATTCTCACCTCTAGTCGCAATGACTTTCGGGGGCATTCTAGAGTGAGTTCGGTGCTGTCTGCATCGAAGCATACCAACAAAGCATCCAGAAACTCTCACTCGTCCTTCGTTCTTGCAGTCTTGAGATTTGGAACTGAACTTTGGCAGTTGATGATGATGTTACATGAGAACATGAGGACGCAAGATCACTGAAGAGCGCATATTGAGAAACAGCCCTTGTCTTTCTAACAAAACACACCTGATTCAGATCATCAGCTTATCAGCAGAGACTGAAAGGCCTGGAATGGGTGCGACAGGCAAAGAAGACATCGGCTGCGTTAGAAACCGCATACTTCCATACTATATAGTATGCTAAAATCAGTAAGCGAGCCAAGTAGAATTTCCGAATTTATAGAATTCGAAAATCAGTATGCGAGAAGGATGACCTACTTCTTCCAGCGAGATTCTAAAGTGCGCATCCCATGGATGCTGCACTATCCCATGATGCTCCACGAGAGAATTAATGAATGGGACTGAAGCAGCGCAAATGACACGGGTAGGTCACGTGACCATGACAATATGGCGGATGTAGTAAGGTCAGAATTCCATTAATACTGCTCACATTCAGTCTGTATAGAACGTACTTTTCTAACGGCTGAGTAGTATGTTTAAATTCAAATGCAGTGAGTAGTAGACAGCTTCGAATGAAGTCATCCCATCCAGTGTTGGTGGTCCTCCAAGAACATGGTTGAGAAACACTGATATAGACAATAACAATGCCGTGGTCAGACTGACTACGAAAGTGACTTTTGCCAATAAGTCAATTTAAGCATATAGGCCTATTTTAAAAAAAGAAAATACTGTAATATTTTCACATTTTAAAGTTTGCAGTTCAATCCTACTGGCCTAAATATTATATTTTGCCACTACTTTCATAAGTATGGGGGGTAACACTTTTTTTGATGGTCTAGTTGAGTATTTTTTAGACTTTCTGCTTAATATCTGTTGATACGGCTCCTTTAACAGACATTTAACTGACTAGAAGAAACTTTGCAAGTGCATGTCAACTTGTCCCTAAGCCCTACCTAACAGTCTACTCATAATCTAATGAGAATTAGTTGACATGTAGATGCAGTGTAACTTAAATACAACAAACAGACCATCAAAATAAAGTGTGACGGTATGTTGTATGTAAAAACACCTTGCTGTAATTCATTTGTAATGTTTGTAGTTCTGGAAAAAAAGGATTGTTCTTTTAATATATATCTTATATAATATTTATTTTATTTTCCTGAGAAGAAAGAAAGTTTGGGTTAACTGTCACTTTTAATGAATGTTAGTTTATATGCAAGTCTGACTTTTTGAATGACACTAAGCCATCAAAACAGAATGAAAATAAAGCTTCTAGTGTTCATTAATCTCAGTGTCAGGCCAGAAATATTTGCTTGCTTACTGTTTATATAACATCAACAATTTCCTCTATGAAGAAACACAAAGCAAGTTTTTAATTCATAACAGCAACTGCTTTGCTTTTTTTGACATTTCTCCATGGTAATTCTCCTCAATCAGTGTTGGTCCTACATTATGGGAATGAAAATTGTCCATGGGGGCATTATGAAAGTTGCATTCCTAAATCAACGCACCACAAGAAAAATTAGCCAGAGCATCTGTGCAGTTCAGAACAATATGATGGCACGAAATCTGTGCGACACTCCAGCAAAACTTCCTGCGTGGTTTTTACGGCACATTATTGTTGTGACTGTTTGCATACGAGCTTGTTGTTTTGATTATTCGTAAGTGCATAAATTCATTGGACGACTACACCGACTCTCTCACAGTATTTCTCATATCCTCATGCTGCTCTGAGGAAAATCTTGTTCTGAACGGTGTTTGAAAAGACAAGGCAAAATGCGATCTATTTCAAACCTATGAAAACAATTTAATTTCATTTTGGCCAGTCAAGGATACTTCAAGCAATATCTCGTCCCACTATAAACATTCCCAATCCCCAACTTGCTCCTTAATCTAATTCCTTACTCAAGGCAGTTTCTCCAAACAGTCTGATTCGTTTCATAAGCAGCCTTTCTTTCACTAATACCACACCTAACGTTAGCTGGAAGAGAAGAACATTACGGGACGCCATCTTCTCTTCAAGGAGATAAAGAGGCATGAAGACTGTTATTCGGAGGTCTGGAGGTTATCAGCTTAAGCGCTGCATGGGTTACTTCAGCTGGGCCTCGCTATTTGACTAAAGTGAAAAGCCTTAGGAGACATTTAGAAGAGAAGGAGATTCGATTCAGCAGGCCAAGTGCTCTCAGAGAAATGAATGCAAAGCCTGCAGGATTGTCATGGTTCAGTAGAGGGGTTTGGCACCCCTCGAATATACATGCTGATCAGCGCTTAGCAATGTTAACTCACCTTCACAGACATCTGTTTTATTTTACTGTAAGCTGGTAAAATATATGTTGCTCAAAAAAGACAAAAAATTGTAAGATAAAAAACAGAGCAGCCATGGCTGATATATATATATATATGTTGATGGGAAAAATGTAGAGACTTGGAAATTTGATTTACGATATATGGTTGAGCTGGTTTATTCTGTAAACACTGATGGGAGGTCATCCAAATTTAAAATACAAAAACTGCCATTTAGAACCTTTATTTGGCATAAAACAATCAGATTTTTTTACATTTAAAATTTTAGATGCCACAAAACCAATGTTTTAACTTCAGAAGAGATTATTTTTTATTGGATTAACCCTTTTTTTTTATGAACCCCCCAATTTTTAACCCTTTTTAACCCAATCCAAAAAAAGATAGCTTAAAGGGGCTAATAATTTTTACCTTAAAATGTTTTTTTTTTTTTTAATTAAAAACTGTTTTTATTCTAGCCAAAACAAACAAATAAGACTTTTTATCAGAAAAAAAAATATTATCAGACATACAATGAAAATTTCCTTGCTCTGTTAAGCATCATTTGAGAAATATTTTAAAAAGAAAAAAAGTTTCAAAGGGGGGTTAATAATTCTGATTTCAACTGCACTTGCAAAGTTTCTTATAGGCAGTTAAATGTCTGTTGAAGGAGCAGTATAAGCCAATATTAAGCAGACAGTCTACTAATACTCAAGTGAGAAGTGATTGGCATGTAGTTGCAACTTTGTCAACAAAATGTGCAATAGGGACCATCAAAATAAAGTGTTCCCAATATTTTATCAGATGTTTATTATAATCCTGCTCAAACCCATACCTCAAAAATCCAAGTAAAATCTCTAAGTTTGTTCTATAGCTGTGTGAATCAAAATGAAGGTTTTAAATATGTGTAAATTATTGTACACTTCAAAGCATTTTTCCTTAATTTAATGCATTTAGAGCTGTGTATTTATCTGCCTGCGGAAAAAAAGATCAATGTAGGATACAAAACTAAGAAAAAAGCAGAATGTCTTTTTTATTGTAAATGCACTGTGTATGTGAGAGTATGTATACTGTTAGATAAGTGTATATAATTCAATTGTAAATGTTCTGCAATATATTGCTTTCTTTTTACTTTTTGGGGATATTTTTATTACATATGTATAAAATATAAATATATATATATATATAAACAAAAAGTAAACTCACTTAGCATCTTTTCACACTTCTTCCATCGTATCGTCTTTTTTTTGTACAGATGCTTTCATTTAGCTTATATAAAAACTATTGATGGAAAGAAAGAAAAAAATAGTCCAGCACTCCCGCAGCAAATCTTCTTTCCCAGACATCCACATGAAAGTGAACCCTCGGTGACTGTCTGACTCACCCACGGTTCCGGAATCATTATTGGGTTTGTATTTTGTCTCATTTTTTTGCCAGCAAGTGTTCAGGAAGTTTCCAGGTGATTCTCAGTTCCATACGACAGAGGGTGAAGAGGGGGATCCGCCATTGTCCGCCGCTGGTAGGGGAGCCGCACGCCATTGTCTGCTAAACCACAGGAAACACTAATGTTTGTGTGGACGGACTTTTTTTCTTTAAATGAGCGACTTTTTGCCCTTCAATTGAACAATTGTCCGGATAAGGTTCTAATGCTAGAGCAACTGGAGAAGGATCATCAGTCACTTTTATTACAATATTTGAAAAGGAGTAGGAGCGATAACTTATTCAAAGACGTTTATGCCGTCTGTTAATCTGGTTTTGATGGATAGCGTAACTAATCTGAACGAAAGTTACTGATATTTCCTTTGTTGAGTCTACAGATATTGCAGTAATGCATTATATCAAACAATTATTAGAGACAGAATATTGGTGGCCCCTCAACAAGTTCTTTCTCAGGGATGGTTTTAAATGAACACTGACCCCTGAAATATTTGAGCAACTGCCTGGAGCCTGTGACAAGAGGGGATAGGGTTTTTCTTTAGGAGAGGAAAGATCACTTTAAACACGCTTGTTTCTTTTTTATTGAATCATGTCGCAGAGTCACAACTGAGACCAAAAAAAAAAAGCACAGTGGTGTGCAGACTTTGACTTCTGTCCAGATGTCTTTTCCTGAGATCCATGGTGGCCCGTATAAAATCTCATTCAGGTCACAGAAAACTGTGATAGACAGTTTGGGGAGGAGGAAT